ATGCAGTCCTGCAAGCATGTCATGGATTCCTTATAAGTGCACAATCCATTTTCGACAGAGGCATTAATTAATAAAGAAAATACAAACCTCAACCGGCTGTTTGCAAAACCTAGTTGTAACTTTGAAAGATGATTTTTTCTTTTTTTTTTTTTTTTTTTTTTNTTTTTTTTTTTTTTTTTTTTTTTTTTTTTTCAGAAGACCTTATTTTCGACCGATTACCAGATATAAAGTTTTACTTTTCAGTATATAAGGATGTTAAGAGAAAAGGAAAATAAATAGAGGCGAAAAATTCACCTGGATTGCTGATGCATGTGCCAGACCGGGCCCACCAGGTTTATTAAACGAGACGAGCTGAAAAGACGAGTTGAGTACCACGGTCAGACACGTCTCCATAATCGACTCTTCCTCAGAGGTGGGGTCGGCCAGAATGTAGTCCTTGTAAAGTACACATGTTAGTGCAAATGGTACCACATTCAGCCTGAGCTTTCTCTTCTCTTTATTGACGGGTTCTCTTTGCTTTGTGGCTCTTCCTTTGCTGTCCTCGGATACAAGAACAACTCGACCGTCATCATTGAGAGAGACTATCGGGATTTGCACTGCAATATAATAATTGATTTTATTATACGTAAATTTAGTCCAATCTTAAATACCCAAATTTAGTTCAATGCTTAAAGAAAATTTATACTGCAATTATCCTACATAACAATCTGAGCAAAAATCGAGAACCCTTTACAAACTTACGATGCGAGAAGGCTGCCACTGCAGAAAGCAAAGCTGCATCAAAAAGGGCACCATCAGCATCCAAACAGTATATGTCCTGCAAACCAAATTTTACAGTGAGAAAGGTTACTAAATTAAATCCCATCAGTAAGGACGACTTGCAATATCAAAACTTTTTACAAGTACGCCATCCAAGCAGCTTTGCCATTCACTAGACATAATTCTTTCAGATCAATCATGCTAGAACTGCAAAAAAAAAAAAAAATTAACTAATGATGAGTATAAATAGAGCATATATGGTGAAGGATTAGACATATAACGTTGGGAGAAAAAATTATAATAATGCTCTAAAAGTAGGACAATTATATTTATATTCAAGGAAACTACTGAATGATACATCCACAATTAGAGGAAATGAAAACAGAGGAAAAACGATGACAAATAACTGTGTTGCTTTGCTGCATATTAATAAACGAGCTGCAACTCATTCTGTAATAAAAAGCCACATTTCCACAAAAAGTTCATCTCAGGAAGTGCTTTCTGGTTTTAAGTAGATTCTAATTATGATCTTTCTTTTATTCTCTTTATTTCCAAACCTAAGGCACCTCCTGAAAATAATAGTTACAGTATGAATAACAAATAGCTGGCCATGCTAGAAAATTGCATTTCAAGATTTCCGATCATAATTAACAGCAATCTTATAAAGGTTGCCTCTGCTTGTAGTCATTCCACAATGATACAAAAAACCTTCAACACCCCCAAAATGTTTAAATAATCAGTACAAAAACAGTCGTGTATTTTCCTTGCCTCAAAATGGAGTCCGATAACTGTTTAGCTAATATGGGAGCAATTTCTGCAGGCCTGCCAGGGCGAACGAGTGGAGAACAAATGGGGGGCATGTGAAAATCAATGGCTGGAAAAATATCACCCAACACCATTACCAAAAAA